CTGCTCTTGGTGCTTTGCAGATGGGCCCTATTGAGCAATCTGAACATCCCTAATATTACCCAGTTCCTCTCGAGGGGAAACACGAACATTAAAAAGGTCCAAATAATTCCGGTCAAATTACACAACCCTTAATGAACTTCAAAAGACGTACGGATGTTTTTACAGGCCAGCACTCAGGCTTTAACAGTAATTATGAAAACAAACCATATTAATGATATCATTTATCATTTCCACACTTTGGCCACATGAGGCCTACCACAAAGTTCCTGTCTCTATTGGACAAAAGAAACACTAGTAATCTACTAAATTTAAAATGTAAGATTTTCCAAACACAGATGAGTTTTTTCAGGTCTTTTAAAAATCATGCAGGCCATCACCCAAATTACTTGAGGGATTCAGGGAGAACTGTCATGGCCCAGGTTTTGCATACACCTATGCCAAACTCCTTGCATCCCTGCTGGAATCTGATTAAAACTGGACCAGGGCCTGACATGTATATGAACAGGATATCTAACCTCCAGAGAAATATAATCTTGTTTCTGTGAGACTTAAGTGACAAAGTCCTACAGACCTTTTCCTTCACTCAAGGAAACTCTCTGGGGCTGACTAAAAAGGGAAACGGCCACCACAGAGATGACATGACAAATATTTATATCTTCTAATATTCTAACAATATTGAAAGTTTAATAAATATTAAATGAAGGTACTACACGTTACCAAACTACAAAAATCTAAAGCATATCAGTAAACTGGCTGAATTTTCTTGGCTTAAGAACACAGTAGTCAGCCTCCTGCCTCCCACTCACATAGAAGTGTAGCGGCTCATTTAAATTCCACATGCTAGAAGAACTTCTGCTGTAAATCTGGCTTTGCTCCAAATTATGTCTCATGGGTGTACATACCACTGAATAATTTGTCCAAATGTCATTTGCAGTTCCTCCAAAATCTTTTCTTGACTGGAAGTCTCTTAGAAAACATCTGTAACAAATAGTTGTTTTGAGACTACATGCATTACACAAGTACCAGTACTGGTACATGACCTTAAGCTGTGTATGAAGCATAAAAAACAAGTTTAAATTTCCATCGAACTGAAACCTGATCGCATGAGCAGTAGCCACCTGCATAGTATGATATTTACCATTAGTTCTGGGCAGCTCAAGCTCATGTGTTACAAATCTTTTGCCGCAGTCTGTATAATTAGCTGTAATTGACTTCCCTTGAAATGTGTTTCTTCTGGGACATCTGGCCTTGAAACTTCAACCTTCCCATAAAGGCCCAGTGCTGAGCTACACTTTCAGTTTTGAAAACTGTATGGTATGGGTGGCAAAGGTAGGACCAGGTTCTTCTGCAAAAACAAATCTAAGAAAATGTCTTTCATATACCACACCTGAAAAATGGAAATAGGTATAACTAAACTATATGCAATAGTATAAATATTTCTCTTGGGATTACATTTCTTACTGATAATTTACAGAGACCGACATCTCACTCATTCTTCCAAGGGTGTGGGAATTTTCTTGTAAATAAAAAAGTTTCTGGTTGCATTCTGTGTCACTTACCAAAATGCATTGTGGATAGTCATGTGGTCTTACAAACGTATTGAATGCACTTTACTTCCTTTAACACACTTGCAAAACCAAATTGTCATAAATGTTTGAAAACAGCATAGGGGGTTAGGGGCTTACAGTCTTCGTCTCCCCTGCCTTTGTTGACACATTGCTGCATGAGACACATAACAGGGACCCAATCATAAAAAAAGCTCCATAGCAGTATAACAGATCAAAACCCCTGCAGGGTACCTTCAAGCAGCCTAATACAGCAGATGTGTGAAATTATTTCATTTTTAGGGTCCGGGCAGCTAAGCTCCCAGGACACTATTGTAATCCTAGGTATTCTTCTCCTTCTTCTTTTTCTTTCTTCTACTTCTTCTTCTTCTCCCGAGGAAATCATACTTCCCATGGGTGAAAACTCACTAAACTTTGCACAAAGGTCCAGTCTCATGCCAGATATCCTCAGCTGTAAACTCAAGCCAATAGTCCTGATGGTGGCGCTACAGCAAGCGTCTAAAGTTCAAAACTTTGAAAATTCATAAGAAGTCAACCATATGTGCTACAACTTCACAACTTTCATCAAACTGTAGCCCTAATACTGAAGAAACTTTTGTATACTTAAACCTATTAAAAATTATTAAGTTCATCACTCTGATTTTTTCAGAACCTTATACCTATCTCCTCCCACAATTTTTGCTCAATTGACACCAAACTTGCTACAGAGCATCTTCAGACTGTCCTACAAAAACTACGCTTCTCAGATTTTTGATTTATCAAAAATTGAGCCTACAGTGAATCAAAATGTTTGACTGTAAATGGTACTATAAACATATACATGCAAATTCTTGCTAAATAAATCTTCAATGTTCATGAAAAAATGGCAAAATTCTAGAGTCATGGTAGATGATGTGTGGCAAATTTCAGAATTTTATCTCAAAAACTGAATTTTTGACAGCATTTTGAATTTTGCTCTAATGTGAACAATTGGAGTCAATGTAAAAATGGCAATTTTAAACATCAGTTTTTCACTTATGGAGCAAATCAATCATTGTTACAAACAAATTACCAGCACCTCCATGCTGTCTAGATGCAATATGTGTATTTTCAGATTTTTGTCTTAATAACTGAATTTTTTACAGTGGTTTGAAATCTGCCTTTACATGCACGGACAGCTGCTTTCCTACACAACAGTGAATGGCTTACTCAATTTGTGAAGTCACCGTTGAGTTGCTACTTGCCAATTAGCTCAGAGCGGTACATGACCGTCTTAGGTTCCAGAGGTTGTAGATTCGAGCCTCAACTGGTGCAGAATCCACATTGTAATGTAATCATCTTCTTGTGCTCCAGCTTATTGCTTAAAATTGCCTGAAAGTGACTGATCACTGTGCAGCATCTTCAAGTCTTTTTTCTGCTAGAAAATCTGTCTTCTCATGCTTGAAAATAAACCAAACTTTGCACAAAGATCAAGAGTCAAAACTTCAGTGTGAAACCATCTGAGGCTTCTCACTTTGCACATAGCTCAACTAGTTAAACATCAGTTTTTCACTTATGAAGCAAATCAATCATTGTTAAAATAAATTACCAACATCTCCATGCTGTCTAGATGCAATATGTGTATTTTCAAATTTTTGTTTCGATAACTGAATTTTTACAGTGGTTTGAAATCTGCTTTTCCATGCATGGACGGCTGCTAAACCTGCACGTCTGGCTTGGTCAATTTGTGAAGCTACACATGAATTGTCACTGACTAATTAGCACAGTGAGATAGAAATTGATTCTTAGTCTCAGAGGTTGTGAGTTCAAGCCTCAGCTGATGCAAAAGGCAGATTGTGTTGCTAAATTCCTAAATGTCTTCCAATTCTTCTGCTTGTTGCTCAGAATTGCCTAAAAATGCCCGGACCCGACCCATTGCTGCACAGCAGCTATAATTTATTAATGTAATTCTAAATCCTACTAATAAGAAGTACTGGATCCTGCTTTGAGACTAAATTAAAAAAGAGAGCGATGACATGCTAAAGATGGAGATGGCCAAGGAGTAAATAGCGCTAGTCAAATTCAGTAAAGTCACTCCTTAGTTTTGAGTTCCTTGAATATTTTTGGTCAGTGGTCAATGAAGCTGTCCCTCTGTTTAAGAGACAGATGTGGTGAGTGAGAGTACTGTGCTTTCCTGAAGGGAAATCATATTGGCAAAGTAGAACCAACAATTTTTAAATGACAAAAAGATGGGGAAAACAATAGCTAATATATGTTGTATGATGGAATCCATCTGTATAAAAAATAAAGGCAGATGCATCTCTTGATGAACTAAAAGAGCATTTGCAAATAGTTAATTCTGGTAGTATGGATGACAACACACTTCCATCCCCAAATTCTGAAATGTGCTCCTCATTGCTCATCGTGAACTATCACTACAGCACTCCCTAATGCGCTCTTTTTTCCTAAAAGCTTTTGGAAATGTAGATTTCAATCCAAATACTGTTTTAAAAAGGTACAAAGTCATAATTTTCCCTAAAGAAGGCAGTTGTTTACTTGCTTCTGGTGTCTTTGCTTTTCTATATTTTTTTTTTTTCTTTCAATGCATTTCTCATCAGAGTGATTAAGCATGGATAAGAAAGACAAAGATAACGGCTACTAAGCTGTGTCAAATTTTGAAAAATTTAAGCACTGCAGTTAAATGTGTGGCTGTAATAAAATAGGCCATAATAAACTCCCAATTTAAAATACCAAGACTCATATTCTTTCTTAGATGCTTGTATGAGGGGGCTGTCATCATACCAGACAATTATTAAACCTTTGAATCAGAGTTGCCAGGCCAGACACAATGTGTCACACTGGGCCAAATGAGCACACCCTCGCCTAAGCACCAAACCTACTTAGAGTACTGGGTGGCACGAGCAGTGGGACATAAAAGTTTTTAAGGCCAGAGGGATTCATGTAGTTGAGTTGCAAAACAGCTAGAGTTCAAGTAGTAAAATAAAAATACTTGTGATTTCATTTTTTTTTAAATAAACAACTTACAGTATCTAAACAATACCTAAATTGTTTTGCAGGTCACTGATGCAAATGCAAGACCATATAAATGAAACTGTACTTAAAACAGTTAACACACACCAACATAAACTGAAACTGATATGGTAGATTGTAGTTTTTCTTCACATGATTTTACACCAAGTCAGGATGATAATGTGCCTTGGTCACAGCACAGTATAGAGTTTGCCTGGGTCAAAAAGCTCAACATGTTTTGTTTTTTGTTATTAAATCTGCATTTGTTTATTTAAGTAAAGGCCATTATGAAACTTCTTGAAAACACAGTAAGAAAATGGAATGAGAGAGCTTAACTTTGGCATGGGGTGGAATTTCACATAAATAACAGGAAGATCTGGCCAGCCCTGTTTTGGCCCTGAAGTGGAGTAAAGAATAATGTGCTTGTCATACTAGTAAACAACTAACCTGTGCTCCATCCCTCAACTTGAGGATGCACTCCATGGTGTTGATGGTGATGACTACGGGCTCCGAGCCTAGCTTGGTCCAGGGTACATGGATACGCAGCTCATGGATGTGACCACTCATGAATGTAAAGGGCAGCTTCAGCTCCTATAAATATGCAAAGAAATATAAATATGAAAACAACAGATAGCTATGATACTACAGTTAGAATAATCTGTACTATAGTAGTACATCCACAATGCAGACAACTTTGTAAGGACATGTGGTGATAAGACTGCTGAAGCTTAAAGAACATTTGGAACCTCCATCCACCCATTTTCTAAACACCTATTTGAAACTAATATTTCAAGACAAGAGGACAGTAAAAGCAACAGCTTCAGATTGCATATTGGTCAGGCTTTTAATTCTGTCAGAATTTCTCCGAAGCAGACGAATCACTGTTCTGCATCTTGAAGTACTCTGTGTGAGAACGAGTCCCATGAAACCAGACTGCCTACACACAAGTTTTATACACACAAAAACTAATAACCAAACATATTTCTGTGAAAAAGCTGTCAGATATTTACAGTCTGTCTTCTTGATAGACTGCACCCCAATGTTTCACTAAGAATTGCTCTTTATATTAAGAAGATGATCCCTATTTGCACAGTTCAAAAGAGGTACTGTCCAAATGAAATGCAATAAACGAATGGCAAAGGGAGGACAACTGCCAGGGTTTTGACATAGCATTACATAGCATTACATTTCAAAATCCTAACACAGTTCCCACTGTCGGTTGGCTCAAAGCTGCTTCCAATAAGAACTTTCATCACAATCTTTGCAGGGTTAGGTAGTGTTTTGGTCTGCTCTTCAGAAGCAGTCAGAACCCACTCAAGAGAAAAGAAAATTATTTAACTCATGGCAGATTGATCTAATCCAGACATTACAAGTGTAAAAAAGAACACTGTGTCAAAATAACACCGCAGAGCAAAATATATAGTAATATATATATAGTAAATCTGTCAAACACCTTCAAAATAACAAAATGACAGTGAAGATATTGTGTTTGTTCCTGGCTGAGCAGCATTGCTGCTTTTTTCACTAGTCAAGGCAATTGGCTGTGACTAAATTCACTGTACCTAGGATGTAAACTGAATGGAAAAAAGTATGTTGGTGGGGCACATGCTTACCCTTCACACATTTTACACCTTTTAAAACCTTTTACTTTACCTTATCTAAGTGAAGCAACTTGAATTCAGACTTTATTGTAAAGATATTCTGCAATATTAGCATTGTCATGTTTATATGCTCAGCTGGGAATTGAGGGACCAAAACAGTAAAATCACTCATTTTCAAAATACTACAAGATGATAGCCATTATTAGCCTAACTGTATCTTGCAGCAATATTGTAATATTGATGAACAAAAGCAAAAAACAAAAGTGCAGTGAATCCAAACATCACAACGGAAATAACAGAGGTATGAGCAAACACAACTTAAATCCATAGCTTCAAAAATGAATACATAAAATGTAAAAATATGATTATTAAAATTAGAAAATATATGCAGGAAAGAGATTTGGTAAAGAAAACAGATAGGACTTAAATCTACATTAACATAAAGACAATGGTACTCTAAGAACCTGTATGGCTCTAGCAATATGACCCATAAACTGTAGATATAAAACACTAAAAGCACTGAGTCCTAGCTCATAACTATCATCCATCGGAACTGCATGGCATTCCTGCAAACAAAATTACCACATTTTTCATTATGTACCATGAAATGAAATAATACACTATGTGTCATCCCAATAAGCCTCGTCTTGGTCTTGTGAACAAGTTAAAGAAAGCAGAGGATGCATACAACATACAGTACCTGCTCCAGCACATCCAGCTTCAGGTCCAACTTGCTGAGCACCACATCTCCTCCCCAGAGAGACAGCTGCAAGTCAGATGGCTTCAGATTCTTGATGTACTTGTTCACATAGCTCATCAGGAGCGGTGTGACATAGGACTCCAACATCTTGCCTCTATCCTGAACACAACAAAACATTATAATGTCATTCAACACTGTTTTTATTGGTACATTATAATACTAATATTTAATCTTTTGCCATTATATTCCAATATTACATATTTTTAAACACTCCTGCTTCTGAAGCAAACCCTGATAAGTCATTTTTCACAGCCCATGTATGTTTTTGTCATAGCACAAGAGCACAGGTGATAATAATAACATTATTGAAGATGACTGCATTCCATTTATGTGTGCTAACTCCAAAACAGCAGTACTGTGCATGCCAGCTTACTGGCAAGGCTTACTGTGACACTTAAATGGAATGCAGCCATAATTAATAATATTGGGAACACCTGTCACAAGTCAAGATATCTATTCGAAAAAGGCCTATTATTGCTCTTCACTACAGGCTCCAAACAGAGACTGCTGTATTTTATTTAACCATATACTTATTTTTTTTTTACTATATCTCTTTATGCCTGCATTTCATGTCTGGAGCTCTGTCTTTTATTTGATTTTCTTTAATTGTAAAGCACTTTTGAAGCCAGCTCTTGAAAGGTGCTATACAAATAAACATATACTACGTATTTACTTACTTATCCTAAAATGGAAGGGTCACAGATATTATGTGTGCAAAATTTGCCAAACTGTAAATTAGAGTTTTATCTAGGTAAGCTGAAGATGTAACTATTATTGGTCATGTAACGGTACAGATATTTACACTCAGCAGAAACTGAACGAGAGTTCTGCTCGCGCGGTTTGCAGGACAATGTCTTACTAACTTTTTTATTCATTTTGGTGGCACTGCTTTTAAGTGGTACAAGTTTAATTCTCGAGTGCCTGAATTAGCCTGCTTCCTAATGAAACATCATTTTTTTATGCATGCAACTAACGTAGCAGCTCGAGACTCCGTTTCCAAACGCATAACACCGTAACTAATATAAGCGGGTGTCTAAAATGAGGCAGTGTCGTAGTGTCGTATTAAGAAATTTAACTTACTGCGAAAGTTAGCCAGAGAGGCTAGCTATGCTCTCCTGTCATTCTAGCTATACACACAGGAGCAGCATAGCAAACAGGACAAGCTAACTGCTAAGAAGAAGTCATCCCAGCTTCGTTTGACTGACTAAAAAGCGTAGCCACGGATAAATATAGAGGAAACCTACCTACTTATCTCCCGCTTGTATCCTGAAGCTGTTTCCTAAATTTGACGTGTATTATAGCAAATTCATCCTGTTAACTAACGTTAGCCACATCGCTCAATGGCTTCAGCCTAAACGTCATCAGTAAACAGCAACGCGGCTTCCGTATGTTTGGTGTTGCCTTTGTGTATGTCGGAAATATGAGTTTCAGGGTTCAGTGCACAAATGTGAGACAAAAATAGCGACAAGCGAGACACTAGAAATTTTCTGTGGTCTAATACGAATACGTGGATGTGTGAAATGTGATCAGATGACTGCTTCGGAGATCCATTTACAGCAATCCATGAGAATATCAAGCAAAAGAGTGATGCACACTGTCTCTTTCGAAGGCGGTTACTGCAGCACCTGGTTTCGTCGTGCCAGTTTGTCCAAATAATAATAATAATAATAATAGCATCACATAGGTGGTGTTTCAGAGTTACTTGAATGGCAACGTGCGTTTGTAATCACACCACCGACCTCTTTGTGGGAGGATTTACGAGGAGCACCAGAAGGCAGCAGTACACGTAATATTCGTCATTTCTCTCGCACGCCCCGGCCCCCTGTATGTCAGTGGCGGCTCACCTTCACTGAGACAGTAGGGAATAAACTTGAGAATGAGCAGCCACTGAAAGTGTTAGTATGTAGGCAGCATTGGTTTCATTTCAAGTTCAGAGATAGGCTACCGAGACCGATACCAATGGAAAAGTCAATGAAAGTGAATAATGAAGGCTACAGTTTATTGTGGGGCTGATCTAGCACAATCTCACATGAGTATCTGATCTAAATATGAGATGACGTTTAATTATAATGTTGAGGAGTTGGAGGCTCACTGAAATTTCAGACTAGTGTAAATTAAAATGCGGTGGTAAATTCTATGGATAATGAATACTAAACAACAATGAAAACTAAACTCGGGCTGTTGCTTATTTGTCCCTCGCCGTCTTTTGTTGTTTCAGCACCACGCATGACCTTGAAGTCACTAAAACCTGGTAGCTACAGTATATTAGACAAATATAATATCGGAGTGAAAGACAGGGTTGGGCTCTTTACTATAAACCTGGAGACATCAACACTTGATCATAACAGCTCCTTCACCTATGTCAAATATGTCTCTCTTAACTCTTTTTGTTTCTACACTTGTCTGTTGCTGCCTCTCGTTTTCAACAGCCAGACAGTTAGAGCTCAAAGATAAGTAAAAACCTGCAAGATCAAATACACATATGCTTGTCTATAGTCTGAAAAACCTTAAAAAAGAAAAGTCCCACTATTATTATGATTATCTGTCATATCAGAGTCCATTCAAATTGGGATTTCTCAGACTGTGGTGTTAGAGGCACTGTGGCTGATATAAAAAGTGGATGTCTGTCACAGGCCGCTGAGGGTCATATGGAGATCATATGAAGTCAGAGCAGCAGGGCTCAGAGGCCTGTCAGTGCAGCCTCTCCCCTGTCAGTTAGATAAAGCTTCCTGAGTACACAGTCCACACAGGCCGGTCACCGATGAAGTTCACCATGTGACTGTCCACTCCTTGCCAACTGGGTGCGTATTGTCATTATTCTGAAGTCAGCTCAGGCAGAGATGTGCTCCAACGTCACGAAGACAGTACCTGACATCATCTTATCTTTATAAGTTCTGTGCCAAGACTGACAAGTCACTAGGTTTAATCCAGTGAAATCATCCTATAGGCTATACACAACATACATAAATATTTAGGCTAGACTTGGCATTCGTGTGGTAAAGAAACTAACTCGGTGCCTTTGGATACATTTTATGTTCCGCCTTCAAAGCCAGTGATGAATTAAATAATGAGGACTTATTTTGTTCTGTTGTTGCTCCTTTTAGATAATGTGATCTTTCAGAACAGATAAAAATTTATGGATTTTTCCCCCACAGGACAGTATTTAAGTTAAGGCTGTCAGACAAAGTTGAGTTGAATTATCTGACTAATCAGTTGCCTGTTTCCAGTCGGTCCCAACAAATTAAAATAAAAATGGATTCAGATGAGCTAAGATACATGTACTTTATAAAAACCCAGTCTGCGAAAGTTTCGTTCACTTGTTTGAGGACTTGCTGAAATAATGTTGTTCTTCAATTAAATGTTTTCATCATGTGCGTCAGTCACAATTACACCATGAATTCAGTGATACACTATGAGGTAATTAGGCTTCGGGATTATTTTGTTTATTTAAGTTGATTAGAAACTACAAAATTAGTTCACTATAAAATAGGCTAATGCAGATATAAATACAATGTATAGAAGTAACTTTGAATTATGTTCAAATAAATCATTATTATTATTATTATTATTAATATTATCATCATCATCATTATTATTATTATCGTTATCATTATTATTAGTAATATTATTACATCCATCTTTTCATTTGAAACGATTTACATCGTTTTTAGTTTTTCATTTTAAGTGACTAATTACGATTTTTTTCCCCCCGGATGATTATTGAGAAGCTCATTTGTTATTTTGTAAATATGTGCTTGTTGAAGACGTTGCACGTTGTTGCCATTCCACTTAGAAAATAATTAGAAAAGCCTGCAGTGCGTAATAAACTGGGCCTTATGGCCTCTCAGCAGCAATGAACGCAGTTTTAAATCATCTGTTGTTTCTGTAAGCACTTGTTCCAGACCCTATTTTCAAAGCCATTAAATATAAATGCTATTTTTTCAAGCAATTAATTGCGCTGTCAGGTGAAAATCAGGCTTTTAAAAGAGTCCTCAGTAGCCAGTAATGGCCGGTGAAATCATGAAACAACAGGCCTGAAGGCCAAGTTACACAGACAGGCAGAGAGATGAGGAGTGAGTCAGAGGGAGAGAATGATACTTTATCTTCACCTAATTGTAAAAATATATATGCTTATGTATATTATGGATCATCTTGTTCGGCCGCAGGCCACAGCTCTGATGGTTAATATTCAAGCGCATTTTGATCCGACCAGTGGCCGACCAAAGGTTAGTTGGATGAAATCCAAATTCTGGAAATTATATCTGTATTAACAGAAATCTATCTGAACCAGAGTGTTTACGCATGGCGTCCAGAGCGCTCACCATTTCCCCGTGAACCTGCTTCCTATGATAGTCTCTATAGTAATTACCTAGTGTGAATAAATGATTTAAACTGTCTGAACCAACCCAAATTTGAATTTGCAGAACTGAGTTGTCTCCTCAACTGAGTGGCATTGATGTTATTATAAATTATGAACATGCTCAGTAAAAAGGGGCAATATGTTGATGTAGGTCTGACAAAGTGTCCAAAAAAATCAACTTTATTTTATTTTTTGTTTGTAATGCAAGCAAATAATTTGTGCCCCTTGGTCATTTCCCCAAATAATAATCTGTGGACAGTGTCGACCACGTCTCATTTCCTTGGATAAATTGCTGTCTTTGCGCTGGTGACTCCTCTCGCCGCTTTGCAAGTCAATTATGCTATCAGAGGTGATGAAGATAAAGACATGTGATATGGCTGTTAATGCGGCTAATATAATACTAATCAGCCTCTGCAGGCTCCAGATATTGAGGATAATAATGGACCTCAATAATTCTGAGACTTACAAAAACACTAATAGGCAGATGGGAGGCAATTCTTCGTAATAATCATCAAACCATATAAATATTATTTTATTGAAAAAAAATCAGATGATTTATTATACATAATCAATTATCATTGAAAAAGACATGATGATTCTGCATTTTAATGCCTCTCCTATCCTCAAGACTTGTCCTGAAAGACATTTCATTGTGCCCCTGTTAACTGATATCTGCTGGTCTACTATAAAAAGCCCAATATGTCAGCCACACTAAGCTCTCACTGCCCACTGACTGTAAACATATAGACTATTAATTTGATGGCCATTGTAAACGGTTTAATCTAAATATTACTTTGGGGCTTTAACATTGTCTCTCGTGTTTCAGGGCATGGGAATCATGAAATAAAGACAGACCAAATGCAAATGTATCATGGAAATATTTATTTCTAAAATACACTTTAACATACTTTAAACTTATGACTGTTTTTTATCATTTCAAGGACAGGAAAGAAAAATAAAAAAACAACAACATTATGTACATGGTCTTGATATTTACAGGTGGTGAAAGCTGGACATGGCCATGGCTCCGCTGCATGCTGTCCCACTTGAGATGCAACCAAATCCCACTCTAAAATGCGCGGCAGTAAACGTGTCCTGATTTGGAGATTGTCTTTGAGCAAAAACAGTCGCTGACTTGTCTTCCTGCGTTTTGTCCATTGTTATTTTGTTAGTCTGTCCAGGCTAGTAGTCCTGATGTGGGCTGTGCGTCAAACTGTGCCGTCGCAAGTCACAGTTGCGCCGAAACACCTTTCCGCAGCGGCCACAGCTGTAGGGCTTGATGTCTGTATGGGTGAGAAGGTGAGTTTTCAGGTTACTTCTTTGATTAAAGGTTCTTCCGCATGTGGGGCATTTGTGGGGAGACTCCTGTTTAGATTTAAAGCAAGCAAAGGATTATTCCCTTTAATTGTATATACGTCTATAAATTATAGCTTTCATTCATCTAAATAAATCCACTTTTGTCTCAGTTATAACGCTCACGGATTTACACAAATAATTTTCACATGTGTGTCTCTCACTCACATTTTGGTTTCAAATTAGTAATTGGCCAAATGTAATGGTTTGGTGAGACTGTGAGCCCCGTGCATGCAGTAGACAGTGCATTATATGTGAATTATGATCATAAAGTATCACATAGGATAAAATCATGATGACTGTTAATATTTCCAGCTTACCTGCATATGTAAGGTTTTATGGACGGCTAGAGTTCGAGACTGACAGAATCCCTTCCCACATTCTTGACATTTGAACGGTTTTTCCTTGGAGTGGATGTATCTGTAAAACAGAAATAACACTTAATCAAATGTCTGCTCATGCGTGGATTGGCTTGTAGCTGTGACAAACCCCTGAGTCATAGGGTGAAAATCTCTACTGTGCAACACAGAAGCGTCCAACTTATGCGTAAAAGTGCTTTAGCGCCCTCATGGAGAAAACTCTGGGAACAGCTTGTGTGTTATAGCAGAATTATGAAGATATCTTTAATTAGAAGCAGCGAAGAGGTCACTG